TAACCCAGAAGAGAAGCAAAAGGCGTATTTGCCTTTCTCTAAAGCAGCCAAGCATGTCTCCAGAACGTTACGTGTGGGATTACCGCTTCTGCCATATAAATATTTCTACATGAGAAATGAAACAATTAAAATTCAAACACCCTTATACAAGATTGTTGATTTTTTGCAATAATATTCAAACACGTTCAAATTCACTAGATACTGTAAAAATAGCATGCTGTTTTAAAAATAGCAAATATTTTAACAAGCAAGTACTGTTTTTTAATCAAAAAGTACTTAAAAAGTATTAATTTATATTCAAAAGAATAAAGCTTTTACGTATTCTTTCTAAAAGATTTTGCAGTGAAGATAAAATAAACAGAAGCAATCGAATTGTTATTTGACCTTCGCAAATTGTTATTTGACTTACGCGAATTGTTATTCGACTTTTGAACTGTAGATTTAAATTGCAGAACTGGGAAATTATTTAATAATTTACATAAAAATATTATTAGTCCAAGATGCAGCGTAGACCGTATTTGTGTACTATTTTTTACTTATTTATATTATTCACATAAGTGTAATGTATTATTTCTTGTTTATTTGATCTTCAAATTTGTAACAATGCGTCCCTTATTCGCATTGTTCCCAGCTTTAAAATTAGCCGAATGCCGCTTCAGTGACTATGGTTGCTGCAGTGATGAGGATGCGATGATATTTCTAGGGATGCACCTGCCAGTATCCGGTATTATCCGGCGCTTTTTTATTATTTTGTTCGGATAGCCGGATATCATTAATATTCGGGAATATACCCGGATATCATTAATATCCGGGAATATACCCGGAAATTTAATTTTTTTTCTTATACAAATGTTCTAAAAATAAGTAGGCATATTCATAATGTTATAATATCTTATTTATTGTTGCAAAATTCCAACCTTTTTCTTTATAGGCCTTTTTTTTAGAAGACACTTTCTCGGTCGGATATCCGACGCGGAGAAATTGCCTTCTTGGATATCCGATGTTACATTCTGTTCGGATATCCGGTATCTGATAATTTTACAATCCCTAATAATTTCTTTTATATAATCTCGGATCCTCATACGGATAACAATGCTTTGATACCGAACGCTTATTGGTGAAAAACAGATGATAGGAGTAAATTTTATCCTTATCATCATGACGAAATTGTTCCAGTAGTGAGGAAAGATGATAGGTTGGTATTATATTTGTCATGCGACAAAGCATTTCAAACCTATTGATTGCCTACAAGAAAGAGGAGTTGTTGTGATGGATTTCTCTATTTTATAGTCATAAGTCACTCAATAAATTTAAAATCTTTGCCGTACAACAAATACTAAAAATCGACGAGTTATTTCTGCGTGAAAGTCTGATAGTTTTAGATTAATAAAGAAAAAGATCAATATTTCCCAAAATTATACTAAATGCTGTTTATAAGAAAAATATATACTGGCTTCAACAACAGCATGTTTAGCTCGCAATTTGCTTGTTAAATCGCCTTTCATATAGCTATTAAAGTCATTCCTTTTCTTTTTTTTATTTATCTATTTCTTAACTGTTTTATTTACTTGTTTCTTATCTGCTTCATTTTTCTGTTATTTATTTGTTTCAATCTTTCGATAGAAAGTAATATAAATTGATTTACAAACAAAAATATTCTATTTTCATAGTTTACGTGTAACCTTAACTTTATTAATAACTACAAAAACTTAATACAATTTTTGCTTGATACAATTGACATTAATTGACGGAATAACAAGGAGTAATTGTTAAGAGCTATATGTCGATGAATTTTGATGAGCCAGACATTTTTCAAACAGAACAAGTTACTATGATATAAAAATGTCAAAATTACTCCAAAATGATCATTAAAAGTCAGTTTTCAATCATTTCGGATTCGTGTTACGTTGTGATTGTGACTTGTTATTCTTCTTGGGTTAGTATACTTACTCCAGTCGGCGTTGGATCATCCTGTTTAAAAGCAGTCGACATCACCAAAGGTGGTACAACTGAGCAATGATTCCACTGATCAGGATTTTGCCCGGCATGAATAGCTATCGTCGCGAAACCTTTTTCCATTGACGTCATCGTCTATTTACTAAAAAAAATGTTCTATGTATATATATTGATTAAAAATATAATTTATTATTACTCTGTTGCAATTAATAAAAATATTGTTTAATAAAACTCTTGTTTAGGGATTCCCGTTCATATCACTTTGATCTGAAATACAGGGTCTCTTAAACAGGAGTTTTACTTATATCGTTGATCTAAATATCAAATATATACGTATTAACAGACTCTTAAAAATAGTCTTAAAATAAAAATAAACAATAAATTTAAGACTAATTCGAGTCGAGGACGATGAAGGTGCCAGAGATTAAATTCTAATCCAAAGATTAATTTCCATTGTGTTTAATCTTCTTTATTAAACGTTTTGGCTCTCTTTGTAGCCATCATTAATAATGATACATCTCTTAAATCGTAATCATTGATCCTTCCGTCAAGAGTAGTCACTATCAGGTTCCCAACTGCAGTGGAATCGCAAACGGGAAATTACATTTAAATGAAGCTTTGAAAGTTTTCATTACCACTTACTTCAAATTAATTTTTAATATTTAAAATTTTCAAACTTATTATCCATATTAATAATGATTAAAATTTCAAATATTAGATAATCAGAAGCGTTTAACGGACGCTAACTAATTGATGAAATTTTGCTGACTTTTGATGGAAGGATCAATAATTACAATTTAAGAGATGTATCATTACGGATGATGGCTACAAAGAGAGCTGAAACGTTTAATAAAAAAGATTAAACATTATGGAAAATATAATCTTTGGATTGAAATTTAATCTCTGGCACCTTCATCGGCCTTGATTCAAATTAGCCTTGAATTTATTGTTTATTTTTATTTATATTGTTGAACAATTTTTTTTATTGATATATACTTATTAGTAAAAATAATATTATAATAACGTTTGGCACGCGTAATTTTAATTTTTTAATTTTTATTAAAGATTTATTGTGTCTTACTTTTTATGTTATTTTTTATATTATTTTGAATGCAAGTTAAATTGTTATCGTGCGCTTGTTGTTCGGTCTTTCATCCACGGAGTAAACGTATGAAATAGACTAATTAATTAAAATTAATGTAATTCTAACAGAGAGAGTCATAATTCTAATATAGTAATTCTGTTTATACTGAACAGCGCGCACGATAATAACTTGCAACTTAAGAGATAACACATTTACGTAACATAAAAAGTGAAATGCAAGAAATCTTCGATAATAATTAAAAAATTAAAATGATTAAATTCAAATTAGGAGACAAAATCTTGTCTCGTTATTTATACGTTAAGAAAAAAAAAGAAAAATATCCTTTTTTTTAAAGGAGCACTTTGGAGAGTTGTGAAACGCTCCGAATAGCGTTCGTAGAATTTAAATTTAGCTGCGAAAGCATTCTGGGGTGTTTTTTCGTTATTTAAACAGAAGCTATCATAGATACGGCTATCTTCGTCTTCTGAAATCAAAAGACGAAGTGGTTGTTTCTCAGTCGTGGTTGCTTCTGATTGCATAACGAAAAAACGCCACTGTTTGAGATTCTCCTCAGTTACATTTTTTGCATTCGTCGGACGTTCCTGGTCCCATGGCAAAAAATGTAGCTGATTAAAGGAATTGTATTCTCGGCAGCGAATAATTCAAGTAGTGAAATAGCCTTAACAGGAATTAACGAGAATCTACTTGAGAGTTACTAGCAAAATTCACTTACTTAATATCGATACTGCTGAATATCTGATAGTCAAGTATAACTGATGTCAACTGAAGTAATTTGACCGATGACGAGCTACTTAAATAACTTACAACGTTGTCAGCTGCGCGGCTGATAAAGGAGAAAAAGGACAAAGTCTTTTGCACTAGTGAGTAGGTGGGGGTAACATTGATCTGTTCGCGTTGTTTGCATTCAGTATCTTCGCTTTCCTTCTCTTCAATGCTCGAATATATTTATCTTATTTTAAGTGTAAAAATTTTTGAGGATTTCAAGCAAAGATTTTGAATAGACCTGTACTATGATAACCTGTACTATGATAACATTAGATGCAGCAATACATCGCGATATAAGCTAACATGAAATAGTGCGATAGACATATCGATACACACAGTGATGTTAATTTTACACAACACGTAATGCGAGAGATAAGTATATGTGAAAATAAATAATAAATACGTAACTCGGGGAGAAATCATTAATTGGACATCGATTCCATTCTTATTTCCCACTGGAAACGTGAAATATGGAATGTTAAACGTGAAACACGAAACGTTTAATACACACGCGCACACATGGAATACGGAACGTGAAAAGCGTGAAAACGCAACACGAGACTACGATCGTACGAAGTTCACTTACACATCTCTGGCGTGCCCATGCCATAAAATTCGTCATAGTTTACAACTCATCAATGACGTAGCTAATTTAAGCTGTGTTTTATTGCCAATTACCAGTACAATATAGTATGTCTCAGTTTCTGCAACTCGCAATCTCGCGTAAAGGAATATGGTAATGTCATTGCGCTTGTTTTAGCGCCGAGACATTATCATATGTCCTGATCTAATGGGAACTATAGATTTTCAGTACTAGCAGTCAACTGGCAGTAATATACGAACATGGCCCTAATCTACAGATTACATTCATATATGGAGATAGTCGAGCAACCATCACGCTTTTGATGCAAGTGAAGAAATGATTAAATACAATATGTATAAAGATGATCCATACACTGGACTCTCATTTCATTTATATCGAATTTATCGCAACGGATTATACTTTGTAATTATTGTTATTGATAACCAGATAAGGGTTGAAATGTTTGTAGCTTTTGTTTTTATGAATTTTAAATAAGCAATTAACATTAAACATCGCTTAGTTCATAGCCCTTGTGTATATTTATTACTTAGTTTAAACCCGTTTATTTGAACCCGTTATCTAATCGTTTATTATTGTAATTTATTTTAAACTTGAAAATACATACATTTGCATATTCAGAAATATTTGACAATACTTCATTAATTCATTAACAAGCGTCCAATGCTTGTTTGAGATCGGCTATGAGATCGTCTTCGGTTTCAAGACCAACAGATAATCGAATTAATTGATCAGTTATGCCTAATTTTATTCGCACATCTTCTGACACGGACAAGTGTGTCATTACGGATCTAAATGAGAAAAATACATTAAAAATATATTTTTAAATACACATTTCTCGAATATACTTACGGCATTTCGGCTAGCGATACGTAACCGCCTAAGGATACAGCTAAAACAAAAATTTTCAATGCTAGCAAAAAGCGTTTAGAATCGCCTTTCAGATAGAAAGAAACCATTCCGCTGTGCCCTGTTTGTTGTGTAAACGCAAGCTGATGTTGCGGATGTGACGAGAGAACTGCAATGTAACAATATGTGTATTTTATTATAAATCCTTTATCGTCATATTAATTATTCAAACATTAATTATATATGCTTCTTTTTTAAAAACATACAGAATAAGGAGAGTAAAATGTGGTACGGTTACATACGTGGATGAATCACTTTCTCGACTTTAGGATGAGAATCGAGAAACATGGCTACGGCTAAACCATTTTTCATGTGTTTTTGCATTCTTAGTTCGAGTGTTTTTAAACTACGATTGACCAAGGCACAGTCAAATGGTGATGGAATAATTCCCATGACTAAATGGAAAAAGAAAATGTTATATAAAGTGTTTAAGTGCATGTTTCAAAAAAGCTCTTGTTGATTTACCAGTTTGATGGAATTGCAATTTCTGCGCGAGATCGTCCCGGCGCGTTATAGCGGCACCCATAATCACATCCATATAGCCATTCATATACTTGGTCAAGCTATACATCACTATGTCGGCACCAAGGTCAAGAGGTTTCTATTTTACAAGCATAACATATTGGTTGCAGTTTCACATTCATCGAATGCAATATGAATACAATTTTTATCTAATTTATGTCAAACTTACTTGAAAATAACATGTCAAAAATGTATTATCAACAACTATTATAATGTCTGGACGAGATTTCAGACTTTCAGCAACAGCTTTTATATCTGTTAATTTCATCAAAGGATTTGTCGGCGTCTCTAGCCATATCATCTACAGTAGAACAAATTATAATGCAGAAAATACTAATGTGATACTAATAAATAATATTTAAAATACAGAGTATTAAATTTTAATACAAAGTAAGTGTAAATAACACAGTAATATTTTTAGTTTTTTTATTTACTTTTGTATTTGGCTGTATGGCATCTATAACATTTTGTACATTAGTCATATCAACGAAAGTACATTTCATGCCTTGTTTGCTACTACATTTCTGGATGTAACTGTTGGTTCCACCATAAAGATCGTCTCCGACAACCAAATGATCTCCTACCTCCAATAAACCTATAATAGCAGTAAGGGTACCTAATCCAGAAGAAAAGCAAAAGGCATGTTTGCCTTTCTCTAAAGTAGCCAGGCATGTCTCCAGAACATTACGCGTAGGATTGCTGATTCTGCCATATGAAAAATGCTACATGTAAAATAAAATAATTAAAATTAAAACGCGATTATACAAGATTTTTTTTGTCATAATATTCAAATTCACTTAGATAATTTGAAAATAATATATACAAACATTATTATAATAAAAAATATTATACTTAAAAATATTTTTAAATTATATTCGAAGAAATAAAAAGCTTTTGACAGTTAATGCTGAATGTTATTACAATTAAGTTTTATTGTGTATTATAAATGACTTTACTTAATTATATATAATAAAACTTAATTGCATTAATAAATATTCAGCATTGGTCCTCAAAGGCTTTTTATTCTTTATTGATTCAATTTATTAGAACTTATACCGTTTATACTTTCTATCGTTTATATTTAAAAGAATAAAGCTTTTACATATTTTTTCTAAATAATTCTGTGCAAGTGAAGCATAAGATAAATAGGAGAAATTGAATTGTTATTTGATTTTTCACCTTCGTGAACTATATTTTATATGACTTTTGAACTAAAGATTTATTAATAATTTTCATAAAAATATCAGATATTAAGCACTAAGATGCAGTCTTGATCGTATTTGTTGCTCCTATATTTATTTGTATTCACATAAATGGTTTAATATATTGTTGCTTATTTGTTGCTTAGATTAACAAAGAAAAGACCAAAATCTTTCAAAGTTATACTAAATTTTTATATTTTAGTCAGAGGTGCCAAAGAGTTTGCGGGTTTATCGCCATTCAGTTCCTCGCTCTATAGGCTTTTCGCCGTAATGAAGTAAATGGGTAAAAGTTCAAACACATAGGTATTAGCAATGGATCACAATACGGCAATCCGCAAACGGATTTTTTTAGCACGTCTGAAGAAAATACCAAAGCGCCTCAAAAGTATTATTAGCTTATATTTTAATACAAAAATATATACTTGCTTCGACAACAGCACGTTTGGCTCGCATTTTGCTTGTTAAATCATCATTTAGTTATTAAATTCCCAAGTCATTTCTTTTTTTTTTCTTTATCTGTTTCTCACCTGTTTCATTTATCTCTCGGTAAAAAATTTTTCATTCATGAATAAGTATAAATATGTATAAACATACATAAATATACATAAACATGCATAAATATTCATAAACATGTATAATTATATATGAAATATGTCTATATATGTTTATACACTCTTCCTTCTTTTGTAAAATTACTTTTTAATGTAATAGGAATAATAATAATAATAATAATGTGAAAACATAAAAAATAATTAAAAGGATAATTTTCGCATTGTTTGTTTTAGAAAGAAACAAGTATGGAAAAATGTAAAAATAATTGCTCATACATAAATATACATAATTTTATATTTAATTATACGTAAGTAATTTTTTTTATTTCTTTAAACTTAATTTTTTCTGAAACAAAAATAGTGAAAAAGTTTTTAATTATTTTTGATGTTTTCACATTACTATTATTATTTCTATTATACTAAAAAGTAATTTTATAAAAGCAAAAAAGATGTGTTTCATATATAATTATACATATTTATGAATTATGTGCATTTATGTATATTTATACATATTCATACATAAAAAATATTTTACTGGGCTGTTTCTTATTTGTTTCAAATTTTCAAAAGAAAATAATATTAATAAATTTATAAAAAAAATATTCTACTTTCATAGTTTGTATATCAGTTTGTATGTAACTTTATTAATAGAAAAACTTAATGCAATTTTTGTAACAAGTGACATTAATTAATTGAATAACAAAGAATAATTGTTATTCAAAGAAGCTATGTATAAGCTATGTAATAACGAATTTTGATAAGTCAAACGTTTCGTACTTACTTTAGGCAGCGCTGGACTATTCTGCTTAAAAGTGGCGGACATCACCAAAGGTGGTACAACCGAACGATGATTCCACTGATCAGGATCTTGCCCGGCATGAATAGCTATCGTCGCGAAACCTTTTTCCGTCATTGTCAATTCGGTAAATAAAATGTTCTGCGAATATTAATAAAAATATTTTTTCTTTTTAATTTGTTGTAATTAATAGAAACATTGTTTGAATGAATCTCCTGTTTAAGAGATCCCGTTCGTATCACTTTGACCTGGACATATACGAAGTAAACGGGAGAGAATTTTACCCATTGTTTAACAACTTTATTAATATATTTATTAGTAATGAGATAATCAATATAATAATAACTTACAAATCAGGCAGGATAAAATAGCCTTATCAAATATCGAATTAACGAGAATTTATTTGAGAGTCGCTAGCAAAATTCACTTATATTGGTGCTGAATATCTGCTAAAACTGATTGTATCCTAATCGGTGATGAGCTACTTAAATAACTTGCAACGATCGTCAATCGCGTTGCTGATAATACAACTATATATCATGATAATATAAATGTTAATATAATGAAGTAAGGATATGCGATACGCGCATTAAAATACAAACACGCGACATATCGTCATGTGAAAAACAAACAATTTTTTATGAAAATGTCTATTATGTACAAATCGCCTCTAAAAGCGATTTTTAATCGATATTTTTGCAAAAAAATTAATTTTTTTTCGTAATGATACATGTATTTTTACCTTATTGTTACGAGAAGAAACATAAAGAACACAAATTTAAATAAATAGAGAATACAAATTTAAATCGATATATCATGTTAGGGATGTGATAAGTAATCGTATAAATTAAAATAAAATAAATTATCAATAATACTAATTGTATAAGATTATAAAAGTATTAAAAATATTGATGCATACTGTCAGTATTATTGATTCAATATCAATGATGAGTCTTATTGACCATGTAGAGTCATCATACTTAATGCAACACGATCTACGATCGTACGAAGTTCGCTTTATGAGTTTATGCATCTTAGGCGCGCCCACGTCATACAATTTATCATAGAAGCATACGATTTCGTACGAATCATCAATGATGCAGCTGATTTTGCAGATTATATGCACATATCAGGCCAGCATCCATGATGCTTTTGATGCACTTAAACGAAAAAATTATTAAATATGTAAAGATGATCCGCGTAGACTGAACCTAGATTTCTTGTCTCCAGAAAACAGCGATTTCCATCCCTTTATTGATGTATAATGGCAATGCTGTACTTAATTTATACATCATGACGATTTATACATTAGATTTATACTTCATAAAACATTTACGATCGTTCTTTGCATTCACAGAGCTCTTTTCGACCTGGTAACAAATTTTTCATGCATGAATATGTATAAATATGTATAAACATACATACATAATTTTATATAAAATATGTCCATACATGTCCATACATCCTTCTTTCTTTTGTAAAATTATGTTTTAGTGTTATAGAAATAACGATAGGAATAAGAAAACGTTAAAAATAATTAAAAGAATAATTTTCACACTATTTATTTTAGAAAAAATCAAGTTTGAAGAAATGTAAAAAAAATTACTTCTGTATAATTGTATATAAAATTATGTATAATTATGTATGAGCAATTTTTTAAACATTTTATTAAACTTGTTTTTTTCTAAAATAGGGATGCGAAAATGATCGCTTTAATTATTTTTTATGTTTTCACATTACTATTGTTATTTCTATTACACTAAAAAATAATTTTATAAAAGAAAAAGAGATGTATGAATATGTGTGGACATATTTCATATTATATGATTATATATATTTATGAATATTTATGTATGTTTATACATATTTATACATACTATAATGTATGAAAAATTTGTTTACCGGGGAGCAATATGATGATGCTCTCTTACCAGTATTAAATTAATTAAGATTTTTCTAAGATGTTTATGAGGACAATATTATTAAATTGCTTGCCAATTTAATTTGTGATACTACTATTCTAATTTTGTTAGGATTGTGTTTCAAAGACTGATGAAATTTTACAGGCTTGAGTACGAGTATATAAATTCACACCGAATTATTTAACCATTAAAAATCCAGGTTGATTAGGTCCTTTATTCCTTATTTGTGTATTTACGATTTTTAAAAGATATTTTGTTTAATATTTCATTGTCAGTGTACGTCCTGTAATTAATTGAAAATAAGAAGTTCAAGAACCGCAATATCGCAGTTCAAAATTTCGAGAATCATATTTTAACGATTAAGGCGACGAGCCAATCGACGTCAAACTGCGCTTTTTTTTGTCGTCTTTACATCACTGTATGTCATTTTTTCGTGATTGTACCATCTCAAATAGCACAGAGAATTCAAAAAGATTCAATCGTATGTTCTGAATTCATTTCTGATGTAAAAAAAATTTTTTTCAGAACTTTTGAGAAAAAAAATTCTTTTTGCATCTAAAAATAAACTGATGACATATACAACTGCATTCTTTTCAAAGTCTGTGCTTCTGGAATTATATCTTTGTTTTATATTTAATAATAAAGAGATGCCATCTACTTAATGTAAATGCTTCGTTGACAATCAGAAGAAAGAATTTTACTAATTAAAAAATGCTTCGAAGCGTTAAGTATTGAATTGCATATTCACAGTTAGAATGATTGAATAGCTCCCTGGGCTCTTATTCTTGAAAAGAAACGTATTCGAAAGACTGGGAATATACTATAGTATACGTAACGTACACTATAGTACTTCCCTAGTTTTTCGTATACGTTTCTTTTCGAGAATAGAAATCCTGATTACGGGTTCCGTAAAGCACATCATGTTATCCTTGTTTAAAAATTGACGAATAATAATAAGGATAAAATGATATATCATGCATATCATGCGTTTTACAGAACACAACCAGTGCTGACAGCATGTTCAAGACGCACCCCCAATCTCCAGTTGTTAAATGGACCCGTTTTCTCACGCATGCGTGTCAAGTGCGGTTTCAGTAAAGTATCTGTTGATTGTAAAATGAGGTTCATTAGCCCATACACATTAGTCCATACGAAATTTTCCAAAAATTTTTGTATATTTTACACGTTTTACATACATATACGTACGTTACATATATTTATTTTCTTGATTTTTGCTTCTTTTCTTGTTTAGATCTATTATTAAAATACATAATCTAGCGATATGAGGCTACAGTCTCGGTTCGAGATTCGTAGTATTTTAGAATTTAGCGCAAGAGAAGTCAGATTTTTAATCTGTTATCTCGACAAGATTTTACAAGAAATTTTCGAGATGAAAAGACACTATTAATTTGATGAATACAAGAACCGAAAATGTAAATTGAAATGACTAAGGTAAATAAATTAATTGTGTCGCACTGCACTCCTCATTAGGGTAGAAATCTAAATGATCGTCTATTTGTCAATTCGAAGCTGTCGCTGTTGCCTCCGCGAGTTTGGTGGATCGTCTCGACCCTGATGTGATCATTAACACAGCATCGATCATGGCATCGGTGGTGAGGGTAAACGTTAACAAGGGTGCAGAATTCCATCAATTCCACGAATCAAAACATTTACGTTTTTGAGAGAGACAGAAAGAAGCAGAAAAACAGGAAAAAGAGAAGCTCGAAGCATCTCTAGAGATGACAGGAAACATGGAAATCTTTGCGTCGCTCGTGCTACTCGTCACAGAACTGACCCTCGGAGACGTAGTTAATAACCGAGACATTACTGTAGTGTCTCCTGATATATTAAATCTTAAGGATCCCTGCGATCTATGCGAGAACACGCTTACTGATTTTCCAAATGTATGTGTTAACTGTGTGTAATGCTGAATTTTATATATATATATTTGTTTATTTTTGTATCTTATATTTGTTTGTACAATCAACCATTCCGTTTCAGAGCAGCTACATAAAGTCTTGTTGTCAACGAGGTTGCAGGTTTTTCAATCTGATCGACTCGCGTTACAAATGGGAGGAAGATCGTTTGAATGGCACTAGAAACGCCTGCGAGGCTTGTATGTGGCATCTGTAACTGTGTTTTATTTTTTAAGAGTATAAAAGGATTTGGTTTAGCAATTTTCAGAAATATTTGTTAACAGTAAAACACAGTTTTATTACATTTATATATATCTAGAAGAATTTATATTCTTTCTTTCTACAAAGTTGCTTTTGTAGTTTATTTTTTGTTGAGCTTGTAATTGAAGCATGTAATTTTACGTCTTTTGCATAATATGTAAAATTGCTTTTGTGTCATTTGTGACAGCGTGTTCCGAGGCTTACATAAATCCGAATGATCGCTGTATCTGCAATATTGGCTGTAATTTCATGGCCAAGCAACGAGTTTCAGATCTGTTACCTCTGTTCACTATCGCCACATGCATGGAAAAAAGTGTAGACATTTTACCTACGCCACCCGACATACCGGAAAATGATATATTAACTGATCCTGGATTACGCAAGGAACTATTTCCTAGATGGTGGGATGCTAATGGCTTCAAATTACCACAGACCCATGTTAAAACCATACCAATGGACATCAGGGTAACATTTTCTATTATTACTAATGCCAGTGAGCGACAACTTGATAAAAACACTAACAGTAATATTTCATCAATATTATAATTTTTTACTCAACAATATAAATGAATAAACATGTTATACATATCAGTTACATTGTTAAGTAAATTATAATATTGATATTATATGTTATTGTTAGAAAGAGAGTTGATGTTTACTGGGAATGTACAATACATTTGATATAAATATGAAATGCGCTGATAAAATCGTAGACCGTGGATTACACTCAAGTCTCTGATTGTTCTGGAGAAAGTAAACAACCGGCATCTACATCTAAATCTAAAACGTTTCAACGGGCAATGAAATTCTCTATCGTTGAGTATCTGTGTTTCAACTACATTATAATTGCTTCAGCTTGTCCTTTCATCGCCACAATAGGGGTTGCAATATTGTCATATTATAAGAAAGTACAGACGTTATATAAATATAAATTTTATAAAAATATCAACTTTTCGAAGGATATTATATTATTCATGCCAAATGAAGTCGTGATGTACAAAATATCTCCACCTAAACG